AGGGGCGCCGGGCAGCGGCAGATCGGAGCGTGACCTGCTTTTCCTCTGCCCTGCAGAGCGAGTCGCCGTCTGGGACGCGGTGGCCGCCTACGTCCGGGAGCAGCTCGTGGCACACAAGGTGCGTCGGCCGGCGGTTCCTCCTCTCCCCGTCCGGCCTGGGCTTCCTCTGAGGCTTTCCCTGCATACGCAGCGGGAGACTCCCGCCGCACTTCTCTCCTGGGCGTCCTACGGGCTCCCTGCAGACGCACGATCCCTCGTGCCGGGCGCTGTCGGATCTCGGGGCCGATGCCACTCTCTGGAAGCCTCTGGATCCCGCGAAGCCGCTTCCGCCCCGCCTGCTGTGCCGCATCTGGGAGGGCAAGGGGCAGGAGAGCGCCATGCGGCCCTTCCCAAAGCCATTCCCGACGCCCCGGCTCGTGCCTCTGAGTGGCGGCAGAGGCTCCTGAGCTCTGTCCCTGCGTCGGAGCCCCTGCGGCTCTTCCCGCCGGCCGGCCCGTAACCCTTCTGCCCTGCCTTTCTCTTTCGCCCACAGGGGGTCTGGATTCCCACCTTCGGCTCCTTTGACACCGTCTCCAAAGACGTCTGGACCGAGGACGGGACCGTGACTCTGCGGTGGCCCGTGTTCCACCTGGCCGCCAACCTCGTGGCCACGCACCACCTCAAGGCCCGCAGGGAGTCCCTGCCAGGTAGGAGGGGGGATTCCGCTGCTTCCGGCTGCGTGGACGGGGCCGAGGGCCGCTGCCTCTGTGCCCACCAGCAAAGCTCCCCCTCTGAGGAGCCTGTCCGAACGCGGGGCTGTTCCGGCTGAGCTCCGCCAGCAGCTCTTCTAGGGAAGCGCCTGTGGGAAACCAACCCTGCCGTCAATTCTGTCCCTCGCATCTTTCAGTGCACAGGAAGTTGGAACCGCTGATATACAGCAAGGCGGCCGCAGGTGCCGCCGTGAGCTGGCAGAGCCTGAGGACCGGCATCCAGAGCACCGTGTCCCTGCTCTCCGGCTGCCTGCGGGACGGGCAGAACGTAGCCGTCGTGCTGAAGGACGTCGGCGTGCTGCTCATAGACGGGCTGACGTTCCATATGAGATTCTACTACGGCTTCCTGGAGCAGCTGTCTGGGAAAGAGGAGCTCAGCAGAGCTGCTCTCAAGGTGAGCCGCCATTTCTGCGCGGCCCAGGCAGAGCCGTGACCTCGCGGTGCCCGCACGCGGCCCACCAGGAGCTGCCGGCCGCTCGGGCCGTGTGAGTGCCGAGCTGCTGCCGGCTCTCCCTGCCTCGGGCTCCCCGCGTCCCCGGCGCCTCAGCCGTGACCAGGACGTCCCACCTCCTCCCCGTTTCTCCCCCGCAGGCCCCCTGGCTGCTGGACGCGGTGGTGTCCCCGGCAGCACCGTTGGCCTCCCTGGCGCTCTCCGGCTGCCTCATCGTCTTTCCCATGTGAGTGCGTTGGTGGCTGTGGCTGCTGCCTGGTGCGGCCGCTCGGCTCTCGTTGCGCAGCGCTTGTTCCTCGTGTCCGTGCCTGTCCTGCCCGTGAGCGTGTGTCGTGGGATCGCAGACTGAGCTGGGCTGGACGGAACCCCGAAAGGCACCTCGCCCACCCCCCTGCGGGGAATAGGGACCCCAGAGGAGGTTGCTCTGAGCCTGGTCCAGCAGGCCTCGACTGCCCGTCCGGGCGTCCGCCAGCTCTCTGGGCAAGATGCTGCGGTGCCTCGCCGCCCTTCTGTCCAGCGCTCCTTCCTTACGTCTGACCCAAACCTTCCCTCCTGCCCTTGGAAGCTATTTCCCCTGCCCCCGTCCCGACGGACCCTGCTCGAGGCTTTAGAAAGCAGCGTCCTGCACGCAGCGTGACAACGTGCCTGAGAGCAGACGGCCAGAGAGCAGCAAGGAGCGCTGGAGCGCTGCGTCACACCACTCCCTGTCTTCTCCTCTCGCGCAGGTTTCACATGGAGTTGGTGCCCAAAGCACCGCCCACAATGCGCCGCAAGGCCTCAGCGAGCCTCTCTGGTCGGGAGAAAACAAAGCAAGACGACGCTTTGCCACCTCTTGCACCTCTCGACCAGGGCAAGAAAGGTAAAGCAGCCGCCAGCTCCTTCCCGCGGCACGGGCAGCCAAGCGGAGCTGGGAAATGCCCCGCTGACCATCAGCCCAGGGGTCTGATGGCGGCACAGCTTCCCGCCAGCTCAGCACGGCCCCAAAGCCATCGGCCCCCGGCCCCTTCCCATCAGCGACTGCCGGCCTCTCCCAAACAAAGGCGCTGGCTGTGCCGTGCCCCTGGCCCCGGCTTGGTCCGGGCTGATCTCATGCCCTGCCCTCCCCCGACCGAAGGATCCGGCCCCCAAAGTCACCCCGCCACCTAGTCGTCGCCCCCCGGCTCCTCTTTCCCAAAGCCGACGCCTCCCCTTCCCCATTGCAGTGAGATTTGCTGCCCGGCCGACCTTCATCAAGCGGCTGAGCTCAGACAGCATGGATGGAGGACAGCTCCGGCGGATCAGGAGCTTGCTGCTGAAGGAGAGCTCCAAGGCCAGGTGAGGCTGGAGGCTCCGGCCTGCCGTGCACACGGGGGCGACCCGATGAGAGCCCATTCCCCAGCCCAAAGGGTCCCTGTTGGTGGGGATGAGGACCGGGACCCCCCGGCTCACAGGGCCGCCCCTCTGCGCGTCTCAGGAGCCACGGGGCAGCCGGCGAGCAGCCTGTGGGCAGGGCTATGTTGCGGCCCAGGCTCCCGGCTCAGGCTGCCGGCGTGCGGCCCGAAGCCATCGGCCACTCACGTGGCCCCCTCCCGCTCTGTCCTTCCAGTCTGCTGCCGCCGATCCAGCCGCTGCCCGAAGCCCAGGAGCAGCCGGTGAGCTGCCAGCCGCAGGGGGAGGCAGGAACGTGGAGCCAGCAAGATCTGCGCCGAGCACCGGAAGGCAAACACGTGAGATTCCCCGAGGAACTGGGAGAAGGAAAAGCCCATCGTGCGGGTGCGGTGCGAATCCTGCCGGCGGCCAAGCACTCGCCCTCTCAGATCACCTTGAGGATAGCAGCGTTCCAAGGAGGCTCCCGAAGATCTGCCTCCAGGGCTGCGTTCACAGAGCCGCACGGCAGAGCATCCAGGCTCCCGCTGGCGTGCGACTCGGTGTGGCTCCTCAGGCAGAGGGTGAAGAAGAAGAGGGCGGCGCAAGAAGCGCTGGAGCAGGCGGCAGCATCAGTGCCTCGTGCGGAGCCCAGGCTACCCGAGGAGCCTCCCGTCCACCGCTCTGGATCCCTGCCGCCCCTACGGGAAGAAACGGAGGCTCCCGAGAGTCAGGCCGCGCAGAGCGAGGCCCCCCCCCGCAGGAGGTGCCCCATGCTGGCCATGCTGAGGCGGGCATGGTGCGCCCAGTGCGGAGGCCGCAGAACAGAGGCGTGAATCCCAGCCGCAGCGCATCTCCAACACAAGCGGGCTGCCCAGGGCCCTGTCCGACCCGGCCTCCAGGGACGGGGCACCCACAGCCTCCCTCCCTGGGCATCCTGTTCCCGCAGCTCTGCGCACAGCGATCTGACCCAACATCCCATCTTCCACTCGGCACCGCTTCCCTTGGCTGACCATCAGCCACGCCATCAGAACTGACTCCCCTCCCATCCGCAGGCTCCCTTTCGGGATGGAAGGCTGCGACGCCGTCACCCCGCAGCCTTCCCTTCTGCAGACCAACCGAGGAGACCTGGAGCGAAATGTTGAGGGGCAGAACCATCAATAAACATCCTTTCAACATCCCCACACTGCCTGCGATGGCATCACTGCGTCTGTTTGCGCCGGTGGAGGGAGAAAGCATTGCGGGAGGGCATCAGAGCGTCCATCAGAGCCTGTGGGCAGACATGGGACCCCACAGAGACCCCCTAGGGACAAAGAGGGAGACACAGAGACCCAACAGGGACACAAGAGACACCCCACAGGGACAGCATAGGGACAGACAGGGACCCCATAGGGACCCCATAGGGATACATAGAGACATCAAAGGGACACATAGGGACCCAGTAGGGACACAGAGAAATCATATAGAGACCCCACAGGGACACACAGGGACACAGAGAGCCCCCATAGGGGAAGACACCCATAGAGACCCCATAGGCAGACAACCAGGCTGCCGCTTCGGGCACAGCAGCCAGGCGGGATCTGCTCCGGCAGGGCGGCCTGGGCCTTGCACTGCCTTCCCGAGCAGGCAGCCAGCACCTAGCCTGGCCGGGTGGCTGCTGGCCTGTCTGGGCTACCCAGGCCAGCCAGCTCTTGCCTGCCAGGGTCCCCCGGCCAGCCCGCAGGGCTCCGGAAGAGCAGAGCTACACACGGGCCGGCCGGCCACAGCCTTTCGCCTGGCTGCACTGCCCTGAGCGGCCTGGCCCAGCTGGCTGCCAGGGGGCTTCGGGCCTCCTTAGGGTTCCCCAGGTCAGCGCTTTGAGGGCTGCTATGGGGTCCCTGCGTGTCCCTATGGGGCTTCTATGGAGTCTCCAACGGGTCTCTCTGTGTCCCAGTGGGGTCCATATGTGCCCCTGTGTGTCCCTATGGGGTCCCTACGGAGTCTCTCTGTGTCCCTTTTGTGTCTCTGTGGGGTCTCTCTGTGTCCCTCTGTGTTCCTATCGGGTCCCTGTGTGTCCCTCTTGGTCCCTGTGGGGTCCCTATGGGGTCCCTGCGTGTCCCTATGGGGTCCCTATGTGCCTCTGTGTGTCTCTATGAGGTGCCTATGGCGTCTCTGTGTGTCCCTGTGGGGTCCCTGCAAGCAGCAGAGCGCAGAGAGAACCGTGCTCCGTTTTGCCCTCTTGCCGACGCTGCTCTCTTTCTCCCCCGGCTCCTCACCGCCTCAGTGCTGCAGGTTCGCCATCCTTCGTACGCTTCGCTCCTCGCACGAACGCCAAGTCAACCCGCCCCGAGCCGGCGCTCCGAGTCCCGGGGCCGCGCCGCGGGGCCCCGCTCCGCTCCTGCGCCGCCGCCTCCTGGCGTCGCGGCGCGATGACGTCACTCGGCGGGGACGGCGCCGTCGCTATGGAGACGCCGCCGCGCAAGCGCCGTCGCCGCGGGGGCGGCTTCCCGCGCCGCAACGAGGGAGGCGCGCCGTCGCCACGGCAACGCGGCCGCACGAAGCCCCCGGGGGGCGAACGGAGAGCCGTCAGGGATGGGGTGCGGAGGCGCGGGAGCGAGCGGGGCAAGGCGGAGCTCCGGGGATGGCGGCCGGGAGTGGGGCTGGGGGGGGAGATCCGCAGGGAGATGCGGCGAGGGGAAGATGGAGGAGGGGGGGGAAGGGTGGAAGGGAAGAGGTGAAGAGAGGGGGGGAGGGAGGGGAGAAGGGAGGGCTGGTGGTGACAGGACAAGGGGAACGGCTTAAACTGAGCCAGGGGAGGTTGAGGTCAGATGGGAGGGAGGAGGAAGTTTTTCCCCCCGAGGGCGGTGAGGCACTGGCACAGGCTGCCCAAGGAGGCTGTGGGTGCCCCAGCCCTGCAGGCGGTGGAGGCCAGGCTGGATGTGGCTCTGGGCAGCCTGGGCTGCTGGTTGGCGACCTGCACGCAGCAGGGGGTTGGAAGCAGGTGAGCGGTGCGGGGCTTTGCAGCTGGTCAGGGGGCTGCAAAGGCAGGCTGAGGGACGTGGGCTTGTTCAGCCTGGAGGAAAGAAGGCTGCGGGGTGAGCTCACTGCAGCGTGCAGCAGCTCAAGGGAGCCTGCAGACAGGAGGGGAGGGAAGTCTGGGGAAGGGGAGATGGCAGCAGGACGAGGGGAAACGGTTTGGAGCGGAGGGAGGGGAGATGGAGGTTGGACGTCAGGGGGAAGTTCTGCACCGAGAGATGGAGAGGGGCTGGAACAGCTGCCCAGAGAGGCTGTGGATGCAGAGCAACGGTCCTGTGATGTTGGGTGGTTTCCTTTCAGCTGTGCGTGTGCATCGGTGCCAGGCTGTCTGTGCGGAATCCTTCTCTTGTGGCCTCAGGCAGCAATGCGGGGGGCCCAAGTTTCAGCGCTGAAGGGAAGCGGTGAGCAGCTCAGTTCCTTCTGTCCTCGCAGGCCGTGCCTTCTGCCAGCTGCTTTCTCCTTTTGTGGCCTTCTCGGGTTTGATCGATGGCTGGAAGTGGGAGCCAAGTGGGAATTCTGAGAGGGGATCATTGGGACAATGGCTGCCAGCACCAGGTATGGTGTGCAGAACTCAAGAGGGCGGTGAAGGTTTGCAAGGCTTCCCTTCGTATTCAGTTCTGGCCGTGGACTTGCTGCGTTGTTCCGGACGCCTTCTTCTCCATTAAACTCCTAAAGGAACCTGGTGGCACGGATGCTGTATGTGTTCCTGCTGGAAGCCGGCTGCTGCCTTGAGGATGGCGTCGTATCTGACCCATCTGCCGTGCTCCCAAGGCTCCTCGTGTCCTCAGAGAGCCCCAGTGCATCCATTCCACCCGGGCTGCTTTATTCCCTGCTGAGACTGGAAGGGGCTTCAGAAAGCTCAGCACAACGGGCTGCTGCTCCAGCGTGGAAAGCAGAGCCCCCTCTGCAGGAATGGAACTCGATGATCTCGGGGGTCCCCTCCAACCCAAACCGTTCTACGATGCTGTGCTTTACAGACCCAGCCAGGTGAGAGAGCTGGGTGCCTTATGGCACGGCGTGCTTGGCCACAGGGAGCTTTGGCAGCAGAGGTTTGCTGTCAGGAGGCACGAAGGCCTCCTTCCTGACCATCGCAAGTCTCTCTGCTGCTTCAACTCGTCCATGTGGACACCAACAGTGGGATTTTCCGAGTGCCTTTAAGGACTGATCCCCCCTTGACGCCTGTTGGGTATCTCAGAGCAGCTGGGAGGAAGCAGACAGTACAGAAACGTCCTGAAAATGTTCCTGCGTGTCCCTAAACTGTCGAGCTGCAACAAGAAATCTGCCTTAAGAAGAATTTGACTTCAGCAGAACTCAGGAATGATTCCTCTTCCTTTTATTTCTCTTCTCAGTAACTCCGTTTGCTCTGGCCTCTCTTCCTCTCCTCTGTGTCTTGTGTGTGTTGTGGGTGAGAGTCCAACCCACTGATGGAAGTGCTGTGATCCTCTTACAGCAGATGCTGTAAGCTGGCCAGACCCCCCAGACTCACACGAGCCCCCTCTGTACACCCCAGGACACCTCTGGGACTCTTCTGGATGACCACCACGACTGAGACCCACATGAGGACTGCCTGGACCCTACCAGACCCTCCTGGGACGGCTCCAGACTCAGTCTGGGACGCTGCTCCGAATTTGCCCCCAGCGATTCCGGGGGGGGACAGTCAGAGAGCTGGGGACGAGCGGCTGGAGGAGTGTGGAGAGGAGAAGGACCTGGTGGTGCTGGTTGGTGCTCGGCTCAACAGGAGCTGACGGCGTGCCCAGGTGGCCAAAGGGCCAACGGCATCCTGGCCTGCATTGGAAATGGGGCAGGGAGGTGAGCGTCCCCCTCTGCTCGGCATTAGGGACCATTGGGATCCGCAGGGTGACATGGGGACTCGTAGGGTGCCTTAGGAAGCCATTAGGATCCATAGGGTGCCAGGGGAACATAGGGTTCCACGGGGATCCACAGGGTGCTATGGGGACCCATTAGAATCCATAGGGTGCCTTAAGAACCCATGAGGATATATAGGGTGCCACGGGGACTCACAGTGTGCCTTAGGGACTCATTAGGATTTGTAGGGTGCCAGGGGGACCCGTTAGGATCCATTGGGTGCCATGAGGACCCATAGGGTGCCTTAGGGACCCATTAGGATCCATAGGGTGCCATGGGGACCCCTAGGATGCCTCAGGGACCCACTAGAATTTTAGGGTGGCATTGTGTCACAGAGCGTGCTTTAGGGACCCTTTAGGATCGATACGGTGCCACAAGGACCCGTAGAGTGCCTGAGGGACCTGTTAGGATCCATACGGTGTATTAAGGACCCATTAGGGTTCTGTGTGGTGCCATAAGGACCCATAGGGTGCCTTAGGCACACACTAGGATCCATAGGGTGCCAGGGGGACTCATAGCGTGCCTTACAGACCATTAGGATCCACAGGTTGCCACAGGGACCCACAGAGTGCCTCAGGGACCCTTTAGGATTCATAGGGTGCCATGGGGACCCCTAGGATGCGATAGGGTCCCATTAAGATCCATGGGGTGCCACAAGGACCTGTAGAGTGCCTGAGGGACCCATTAAGATCTATAGGGTGCCATAGGGACCCTTTAGGATCCATAAGTTGAAATGGGAACACGTAGGGTGCCTTAGAGACCCGTTTGGATCTATAGGATGCCAGGGGGACTCATTAGGATCCATTGGGTGCTTTGGGGATCCATAGGGTGCCTTAGGGACCTAGTAAGATCCATAGGGTGCCATGTGCACCCATCGGGTGTCTTAGGGTTCCATTAATATACATAGGGTGTCTTAGGGGCCCACTAGGATCCGTAGGGTGCCATGGGGATTCATGGGATGCCTTAGGGACCCATTAGGATTCATAGGGTGCCATGAGGACCCATAGCGTGCCGTTGGCACCCATTAGGATCCATAGGGTGCCATGGGGACCCATGGGGTGCCTTAAGGACCCATTAGGATCCATAGGGTGCCATGGAGACCCATAGGGTGCTTTTGGGACCCGTTAGTGTCCATAGGCTGCCAAGGGGACCCATTAGGATCCATAGGGTGCCGTGGAGGCCCATTAGAACCCACAGGGTGCCACTGAGACCCTCAGGGTGCCTTTGGGACCCATTAGGATCCATAGGGAATGAAGACCCCTAGGGTGTCTGAGGGACCCACTAGCATTTTAGGGTGCCATGGGGACCTATAGGGAGCTTTAGAGACCCATTAGGATCTATAGAATGCCATGGGGTTCCATTAGGATGAATAGGGTGCCAGGGGGACCCATTAGGATCCATAGGGTGCCATGGGGATCCCTAGGGTGCTTGAGGGACGCATTAGAATTGTAGGGTGCCATGGGTACCCATAGTGTGCTTTAGGGACCCAGTGGGATTCATAGGGTGCCACAAGGACCCGTAGAGTGCCTGAGGGACCTGTTAGGATCCATAAGGTGCCATGGGGACCCATAGTGTACCTTAGGGATCCATTTGGATCCGTAGGGTGCCATGGGGACCCATTAGGATCTATAGGGTGCCAGGGGGATCCATCGAGTGCCTTAGGGTCCTATTAGGATCCAAAGGGTGCCATGGGGACCCGTAAGGGGCCTTCGGGACACATTCGGACCCATTGGGTGCCATAGGGACCCATAGTGTGCCTTAGGGACCAACAAGGATCAATAGGGTGGCATGGGGACCCCTAGGGTGCTTTTGGGACCCGTTAGGATCCATAGGCTGCTACGGGGACCCATTAGGATCCATCGGGTGCCTTAGGCACCCATCGGGTGCCTTAGGGACCCATTAGGATCAATATGGTGCCACGGCTACACAGGGTACCTTAGGGAGCCATGAGGACCCATACGGTGCCATAGGGATCCATAGGGTGCCTTAGGGATACATCAGGATCCCTAGGGTGCTATGTGGACCCATTAGGATCCATACGGTGCCTTAGGGATCCATAGGGTGCCTTAGGGATCCATTAAGATCCATACACTGCCAAGGGGACCCATTAGGATCCATAGGGTGTCATGGGCACCCATCGGGTGCCTTAGGGACCCATTAGGATCAATAGGGTGCCACGGGTACACAGGGTACCTTAGGGAGCCATTAGGATCCAGAGGGTGCCATGGGGACCCGTAGGGTGACTTAGGGACTCATTAGGATTTGTAGGGTGCCTTAGGGACCCATTAGGATCCATAGGGTGCCAGGGGGACCCATAGGGTGCCTTAGGCACCCGTTACGATCCATAGGGTGCCATGGGGACCCCGAGGGTGCCTGAGCGACCCACTAGATTTTTAGGGTGGCTTTGGGACCCATAGGGTGCCACAAGGACACACAGGGTGCTTTAGGGACACGTTAGGAGCCATAGGGTGCCATGGAAACATATAGGGTGCCTTAGGGACCCATTAGAATCCATAGGGTGCTATGGGGACCCATAGGATGCCTTAGGGACCCGTTAGGATGCATAGAGTTCCACGGGGACACACAGAGTGCCTTAGGGAGCCATTAGGATCCATAGGGTGCCATGGGGACCCATTAGGATCCATAGGGTGCCATGGGGACCCATCGAGTGCCTTAGGGACCCTTTAGGATCCATAGGGTGCCACAAAGACCCGTAGAGTGTCTGAGGGACCCGTTAGGATCCATAGGGTGTCATGGGGACCCATAGGGCCTAAAGCCAGAGGCAGAGGCCGGCACTGGCCCTGGGCACAGCTGTGCCTTCCTGTTGCTTTCGGCTGATTCCTGTAGGGCTGCACTGACCGCTCTGAGGCCATGCTGCTCCGTACTGGTTGTCACTTGGCCATGCTGCACGTTTCTGGTCCGTACTGCTGGGCACTCCTCCCAGCTCCTACTTGTTCCTCTGGGACCCCGCTGACCACTACGAGGCCATACTGGGTTTTTACTGGGCTGCACAAGGGTCATCTTCACTTCTCTGTTGCTTTACTTCAATTAAGCCCCATTCCATGAACCCCATTCACCCCATAGGTGAGTCTCCTGTTTCCTACACTTTGGATCTGGGGGGTGACCACTCCTTTGCCTATGATGCAAGCGCAGCGGTGATGCAGGCACTCGCTGAGGTCACAATGGTGGCCGGGCTGGGAGCGTTTGTGGCCCAGCTGGGAGCAGAGCTGGTGGTCTGGTGAGCGTGGTGCACACTTAGACTGAGCTCTGTGCTTTCCTTGAGAGATCTTCCTTGAGAGCCCGCTGGGAGCAGCGCTGCGGCGTGTGCGTCAGCTGGGCACCGCTCCGGCTGGGCAGTGACCAGGTGAGCTGGGTTGGTGCCGGCTGGGTGCCGGGAGGTGTCTCAGCAGAAAAGCTGGGCTGGGGAGCAGTTGCCAGCTCCGGCGGTGCCCCTCAGCACGGCTGTTTGCAGGGGAAATGGTTCTTGTTCAGCTTCCATCCCACGTTTCAGTGAGGATGATGAGCTGTCCTTCCTCCCCTGGAAATTCACGGCTGAGCCCCGCCTTCACGTCGCACATTGAAAAGCAGGGAGAGCACAAGCTTCTCAGAGCACAGCTCGTGCCCCCTGCCCCACGGGGGGCTGGGTGCAGAGCTGTTGAGGAGATGGAGAAGGGCGCTTGCTGGCACAAGCCGTGGCAGTCAGACCCAAACTGGACCTGGTGGCAGGCAGCTCTGGCAGCCAACTGACGTCCAGACGCTGCCCTCCTCGAGAGACGAAGAAGAAAGCTGGGAAGATGCTTCTTCCTCCTGATGTTTCACTGGTGGATCCTTTCTGCAGGGTTCCTGTCCAAAAGGAGATTTTGAGAGACCGAGGCAATCAAAGACAGAGGGAAGCAGCTCGATCCAAGAGCAGAGAAGTTCCTGCGCGCAGCCCTCGGAACTTCAGCTTCCCCAGAGACAGCGGCCATGTCTCAGGCAGGGGACGACCGCAGTTCCGCTTCCTGCTCTGGGAGAGGAAAGGTACGGCTGGGTTTCCTTGGCTTGGCTCTTCCTTTTTCTCATGTTGAAGGGAACGGCTGGAGCAGGGGGAGCCCTGCAGGTCCTTTGGGACCTCAGGAACCAGTTGGATGCTGCGCGCGCTGCTGATGGCGTGGGCACGGCTCAGGCCGTATTTTCCCTTAGTGATCAAGAACGTGTCAGCACTCTGCCGTCCCACCTCTGGCCCGACCTGGAAGCTGTCTGCAAACCTTGGCTGCCCGTTCCCTCCAACGTTTCTTCTTTCTCTCCTCAGAAGCAGCGCGGCGCGGTTCCCCGCGTTGGGGAGCAGCAGCCAGCAGGCTGCCAGAGATCCCACGGCGCCTGGCAGCGCACAGAGGGACGCGATGGGGACGGGCCGTCCTCACTGCCGCGCAAAAGTAAGTTTCTGCAGTCCTCTGTCGTGAAGGATGGAGGGATGAATGTGGAGTGTGACTTCTGAGCGGGTGCAGTGCTGTAGGGATGTCCAGTAACCACGGTGGAAGCGTGAGAAAGGCCGACAGCGACAGCCGATGGCAGCAGCGAGACAGAAGTCTGTGTGCAAGTGGTGCTGCTCAGAGCTGAGCGCATTCCCTCCAGGGACAAGAGATCCGTGTCTCGACGTTTGCACCCGGTAGCGTTTTGTTTGCTGGTGCAGCTTTGCTCTGCAGAATGCAGAGCTGTCAGGCAGTCCGGGGTTCCTCTGCTGACGTCTGACAGGAAGGAGAGCAGTAGTGCTTTGTGTGAGCGCAGTGCAGTTTGAACATCAGTTTCTGCTCTGGCTGTAGAACAGCGTCTTTTGGATTTGGGGGGGGTGTGGGTTGACAGGACAGCGCTGCTCCTGGTGTCTGTGCAGTCACACTGGATCTGTTGTTGCAGGGACGGAGCCTGCGCGTCCGTGGGATGGTGCTGGGCCCGGGGGGAAGCGGAAAGCCTCCGCAGGTAAGGAGCTCCTGTGAGCTGTGCTGTGGGTGCTGCCTCTAAGCAGGGCTGCGTGCAGGGCTGTGTGTGATGGAGGAGAGAGGAAAGGGTGCTGCAGATCTGTGCTGACTGCACAAGTGGCACAAGGCTGTAGCAGTGGAAAGGAAATTGAAGAAACTGCGCTTGAAGAGCAGCAGTTTGTGTCTAACTGTGCCCAAGTCTTCCTCCAAGGAGCTGCTCTTCATGTCTTTCCTGCTTTCTTTCTTCAGAAGCTGATGCCAGCCTCCCTCTGAAGCGCAGCCATGCGGAAAGGCAGGGCAGGAGCACAGAATGGGACGTGGCACCCAAGAGAGGTACAGACACCCAGCAGGCATCGGGGCTTGGTGCACTGCCTTTCTAATCAGGCTTTCTGCCTGTTCTTTCCTGGGACTGTTGTCACTGTGTGCTGGTTGTGGTCACAACCACAGTGAGCATTCCTGCACTGATTAGAAATGGGAGCCCACAGTTCACCTGAGATCCCAAGCTCCGTGACTGTGAACACTCCAGATGAGATGTGCCAGCATCGCGGCCCATTCTGCAGACTGAAAGCAGCAGTGCGCCCTGGTTCAATCTCGTTGCTTCTTGTCTTTTCGCAGAGATCGGTGCTGAGCCAAACGGCCATCTCCACGTGAAGGTGGTGCAGCAGGGGCGTTCCGAGAGAGCTTGTCTCCCTGAGAGAGCTCCAGCTCCTCTCCAGGCTGGAGGGCTTCCTGGCAGAGCAGGTCCCAGCACAGGGGGAAGAGCTTCCCCTGCCGCGTGCCCCCGCTCCGTCTGCAAGGCCCAGGCTGGATGCAAACGCAAGGCCTTGGAGGAAGGGACACCAGCAGCAGCGCAGCTGCCTGCCCACAAGAGAGCCAGGGCTGAGAGCGGAGGCAGCGTGCCGGCTCCAGCAGCGCAGCCTGGGCCTGCCGCAGCGCGGAGCTCCGGGCGCAGAGGTGAGCAGGGCTGTGTACCGCTGTGCTGAGCTGCTGCCCTTTGCCAGCACGCTGAGTTTGCTCAGGGTCTGCTTTGCCTTTTCCTTTTGTGTCGAGGGGAAATGGGTTGAAGGCTGCCAAGTCTGAAGGCAGCCAGGTGCCAGAATGTGCAACCCCGTCTCTTTAACTGCATGGTGGTCTTCTGCACGTCCCACTGGAAATGTCATTCACTGGGGGGTTCCTCGTCCAATTTCCTTTGTCTTTTTTCTGCCGTCTGCTTTTATGGTACCCACGTTTCTGCAGTTCTGCTGTTGACAAAAGAAATTCCTCTTTTGTCTTGCCTGATAGCAAGAAGACAACGCCAAAAACAAAGGAGAGCAGAACTGAAGAAGGCTTCTCTGAGAGCCGCAGCTGCACGTGCAGAGGTGAGTCCTCGGTGAGCACAGACGCGGCTCTTGTTGTTGTCAGGGCCTCCGTCTGTCAGACATGGAAGAGATTTCCCAAGGAAGCGCTGTCCTGTTTCTACACTCGCTCTGTTTCTTTCCAGTCCTCCGCCATGAACAGCCTGGTGGAGATGATGCAGAAGCTGCAGCTGCACGACTGAGAAGAGGAGCATCAGCAGGCAGCGCTGCAGTGCGCGGCGTTGCAGGGCAGCGCTCCGAGTGCCGCCCAACTCGGCACTCCAACTTTGGTTGTAGTCAATAAAAACATGGCATGCTAACTCAGAGAACGATGCCGTAGAGATGGCTGAGTTTCCCAGGGCAGCGCTGAGTACTTTTTGCTTTATGCTGAGTGTACACTGAGCCAAGTTCCCCAAAAGGACGGCGTTTCCTCTGGGCTGTTGGTCCAGAGCAGCATCTCTGCACTTAGGAGCGCCACGCTGCCATCCCGGCACTGCTCTGCTCACAGACAGCGCTCCAGGTCGTGGCACTCAGAAGGTGCCCCTCTGTCGTGCAGCCCTCCCCAGCGCCTGCCTGCCTGTCCCTGTGTGGGCTGCGATGGAGCTTTTCCTTTGCAGCGCCCGGTGTGACGCCGTGTCCTGGTTCCGTCGGTGCCATCCTGCAGGCTGCTGTGCACAGCGCAGTGCTGCGGAGCTGTGCTTCCCGGCCCTGTGCTCTCCGGCACTCTGGTGTGAGTTCTGCCTCTCCCAGGCATCTCCTGTTCCCAGGAACCTCCGCTGCTCCCTTGCACGCAGAGCTGTGTGCACAGCCCTGTGCAGAACCGCACACCCACGTGCAAGGACTTCCCTGCACACACTGCTGTGCATCCACACGCACAAGCACATCCTCGCACGGCCCTGTGTGCACACTCCATCCGTGTGCACACAACCGTGTGCAAAACCACACAGCCTTGTGCAAAGACCTCGATGCACAGCCCCGTGTTGGCGCACACACACACCCGTGTGCAAACCCACCCCTTTGCACGGCAACACGCATGAAGGCACGAGCGGAGCTGCAGCCCTGCACACAGCCGTGCGCACACACACACACACACGCAAAAGTAACATTCACGTGCAAACACCCTGCACACACCCACGTGCAATGCACACTGATATGCAGCACCACCTCTAAGATGATCGGAGGGCTGGAGCACCTCTGCTGTGAGGAAAGGCTGAGGGAGCTGGGCTTGTTTAGCTTGGAGAAGACAAGGCTCCAGGGAGACCTCATGGTGGCCTTGCAGTGCTTGAAGGAAGTGTATAAACAGGAGGGGGAACGGCTGTGTGTGAGGGTGGATGGTGACAGGACAAGGGGGAATGGTTTTAAAGTGAGACAGGAGATTTAGGTTAGATATTAGGAGCAAGATTTTCCCCCCGAGGGCGGTGAGGCACTGGCACAGGCTGCCCAAGGAGGCTGTGGGTGCCCCAGCCCTGCAGGCGGTGGAGGCCAGGCTGGATGTGGCTCTGGGCAGCCTGGGCTGCTGGCTGGCGACCTGCACGCAGCAGGGGGTTGGAAGCAGGTGAGCGCTGTGCTCCTTTTCAACCCAGGCCATTCTGTGATTGTATGATCTCTGCACACCCTGCGTGCACACACACCTGCACTCATAGCTCTGTGGCCAAATGCCGCTCGCGTGGCACAGCCAACACGCAGACGGTGGGAAATGTCTGGAGGAAAGATGCCCCGCTGCGCTCCTTCATCCTCCTCTCTTTAATGCGCACTGGGGCACAGCTGCAGCCCCATGCTGAGATGTGGGTTGCTGCAGGATTCCTCGTTTGGACGCTGCGGGGTGAACCCAGAGCGCCTGAGAGACACTCCTGGTGTGCTCTGCAGATGGGAGATGTGCCAGGAGCCAAGAAAAGCCTTTCAGACAGTGCAGGGGTGGCGTTCCTGGGCCGGGCGGTGAGACGCAGAGCTGCGCCCGCTGCCCTGGGATCTGCAGCGCTGCAGAAGGGCTCAGGGTGCAGCACAGCGGCTCGGCGCACTGAGGATGCTGGGTGCAGCACCAGAGCCCCGGGTGGGCAGTGGGGGTCCTGGGACGGTGATGGGGGTTCTGTCAGGGACTCTGAGTGTTTGTGAGATCCCAAGGGCAACCCGAGGGGGTAAGGAAGAACAGTAGGAAAACACGGCGGGGTGCTGGGGGAGCCCAGAGCAGGGATAAGGGGTGCTGGTGGGGAAGCTTCTGTTTCTCTGTTCTGTTTCTTCTTCTGTTTATTGGCCAGAAGAGACAGGCCAAAACGGGCGTACCTACTTTGGTAAATTTAAAAGGAGAACTGGCTTCAACAGATGAAGAGAAAGCTGAGGTGCTGAATGAGTTCTTCACCTCGGTCTTCACTGGTGGCCAGGATTCTAGTCTTCTTCACGTCCATGAACCCTGCATCCCCAAACCTCTATGTGGGGACCAAGGAGGTAAATCCCTCCCCACTGTAAGGGCAGAGCAAGTCCGAGAGTACCTCCTTAGACTGAATGAATACAAGTCTATGGGGCCAGATGGCGTGCATCCCAGGGTCCTGAAGGAGCTGGCTGAGGTGGTTGCCGAGCCGCTCTCCATCATATTTGAGAAGTTGTGGCTGTCAGGTGAGGTCCCGGATGACTGGAGGAAGGGTCACGTCACTCCCATATACAAGAAGGGGAGCAGGGAGGACCCGGGGAACTACAGGCCGGTGAGTCTCACCTCCATGCCTGGGAAGATCATGGAACAGATCCTCCTGGACAACATGCTGGATCACATAAAAAATGAGCATGTGATCCGAGACAGCCAGCACGGCTTCACCAAAGGAAGGTCATGCCTAACTAATCTTGTGGCCTTCTATGATGGAGTGACGGCATTGGTGGACGAAGGGAAGGCGACCGATGTCATTTACCTGGACCTGAGCAAGGCCTTTGACATGGTCCCCCACCACATCCTCATCTCCAAATTGGAGGGAAGTGGATTTGATGGGTGGACGACCCGATGGATAAGCAATTGGTTGAAAGGCCACAGACAGAGGGTGGTCAATGGCTCTATGTCCAGGTGGAGGCCGGTAACAAGTGGTGTCCCCCAAGGGTCTGTCTTGGGACCGGTGCTCTTTAACATCTTTATTAATGACATCGATGAGGGAATTGAGTGCACCCTCAGCAAGTTTGCTGACGACACCAAGCTGAGTGGTGCAGTTGATACGGTGGAAGGAAGGGATGCCATTCAGAGGGACCTCGACAGGCTGGAAAGCTGGGCTCGGGTGAACCTGATGAGGTTCAACACGGCAAAGTGCAAGGTTTTGCATTTGGGCCGGAAGAACCCCAGGCACCCGTACAGGCTGGGAGGAGTGGTCCTTGAGAGCAGCTCGGCAGAGAAGGACCTGGGGGTCCTGATGGACGAGAGACTTAACATGAGCCAGCAGTGCGCTCTGGCAGCTCGAAAGGCAAATGGGATCCTGGGCTCCATCAGGAGAGGGGCGGTCAGCAGGGAGAGGGAGGTGATTGTCCCTCTCTACTCGGCTCTTGTGAGGCCCCATCTGGAGTACTGTGTCCAGGTGTGGAGCCCTCAGTACAAGAAAGACAGAGAGATCTTGGAAAGGGTCCAGAGGAGGGCGACTAAGATGATCAGGGGGCTGGAGCACCTCCCCTATGAGGACAGGCTGAGGGAGTTGGGCTCGTTCAGCCTGGAGAAGAGAAGGCTGCGGGGTGACCTCATGGCAGCCTATCAATACCTGAAGGGAACCTACACCCAGGAGGGGAGTAAACTCTTCCAAAGGGCTGACAACAGCAGGACTAGGGGAAATGGATCCAAGTTGAAGGAGGGAAGATTGAGGTTGGATGTTAGGGGGAAGTTCTTCACAAGGAGAGTGGTTAGGCCCTGGAACGGGCTGCCCAGGGAGGTTGTGGATGCCCCGTCCTTGGACGTGTTCAAGGCCAGGTTGGACGGGGTCCTGGGCAACCTGATCTGAATGTGTGTGTTTGGTGGCCCTGCTAGGCAGGGGGGTTGGAACTACATGATCCTTGAGGTCCCTTCCAACCCGGGTGATTCTGTGATTCTGTGATTCTCTAACTGGATGAGAACAGAACAAACTGATCCCACGGAGACTGGGGAAGGGACTGGAGCTCGGCAGGTGCGGTGCTGCGTGGCAATGAGGGATGCTTGAACCAAGAATGGAGCTGGGATGGACTGAAGCAAATCAACTCCTTCATGGGGACAGTGGGAGAAGAAATCCAAGTCAGCTGCAGAAGGAACAGCAGAACTCCTTACAAGAAAGCGTTCCGGACTGGGGCTGTTGGAGCAGGAGGGACAGTGCAGCTTGGAATGGATCTCGTGGTGGGGAGAAATTGCTCCAACATCAGGATTTGGAGCAGTCGCTGCAACGACTCTGAGAATCGGACAAAGAACTCAAAGACAGCAGCGCAGCACAGGGAGGAAGGAACACATCGTGGTGCAGAAGGAGAACATCAGCGGTGGGATTCCCCTTTTGCACGGTCACTCACTGCTACAGGACTCTGCAACAAGGAGCTGCACCCTGCCGTGGTCAGCACAGCTCTGTGTGTCAGCTATGTGCTGCTGGAAGTCATCTCAGCAATGAGAAATGAGCTGTGTTGCCGCACCGAGCTGCGCCTGATGGAACAGCAACAACGAGAGCGTTTCTCCCACACCCCACAGGCACCTGGGGGGATCTGCTGGGATGTGGGGAAGCCCTACAACACTGTGGGACAGCTAAAGGACACCTATGGGAAGACCCCAAAGGGGCGCTTTGGGGCAGCTGTGGGGCAGAGCCACACCTAGGAGCTGCCGTTACCCAACACACCGCTGGTGGTGGAACTGCTGCTGGCCACGCGCCGTGGACAGCCATGGGGCTGTTCATTTTCCTCCCAGTTCTGGGAACCCACTGCTGAACGCCACGCTTCAGATGCGTATCATCAGCGCTGAGTGGAGCAGCAGAGTCAATGCCCTTGAGCTGCTGGGGACACCAACGTGTCCTTGTCACTCCTTGCTGCCTTATGATCAGCTCCATGTTCACGAAGACCTGCTGTTCTTATTCTGCAAGGCTGCTTTCCAGCTGAACAGTCTCCAGCACACAGACGTGTGCAGGGCTGTTCCAGATGCAGGCCTTTGCCCTTGTCCTTGTTGAACCAATGGAGTTTCAGCCTGACCATTTCTCCAGCCTGCTGGCATAACCGGCATACAGACAAACGAATGAAG